TTAGAAAATAGTACTATAATTTCTCAACCAATAAAACATAAAGTTAATATGACAGAGAAGCAGGAGTGGCATCCACCACCTAAATAGCATGCCTCCAGAAACTCCATGAACTTTGATAAATGTCGATAGTTTTAGAGGAGCTTCATTCAGGTCTTTCGTTCATAGGGTTGCTGAGTCATGCTTGACTCGAAGGCAATCAACAACAACACAACAATATGACAGAGCTATTATACTTTCAGGTATACATCCAAGAAAAATGAAAGCATAAAGTTCATCTGAACACTTGTGCAAAATTATTTATAGAATTATTCACAATAGCCAAAGGATGAAAGCATCCTCTTATGGACTAAATTGTGTCCTTTAAATATATATATGTTAAATCCCTGCCTTATTGACGTGACCTTCTTTGAAAATAAGAGTATTAATTTATTATGTTAATAAGGCAACAAGTGTGTAGAGTAGATTCCAAACTTAATGAGTTCTGAGTTATTTTAAAAAATAGAAACAGATACACAGATTACAAAAGCCGTGCAGGAATTGTCTACAAGCAAAGGAAGCAAGGAATACCCAGGGCTTCTGACAAAGTAGCAATTAACATGGCTAAGACCTTGAGTTTGACTTTTAGTCTCAAAACTGTAAAAAAATATATTTCTGTCCTTTAAAGTCACCTATTTTTGCTTGTGGCTATCATGCTAGAAGTTATACCACTGGTATTTCAAATACTTGCAGGTCATCCATGGTGGACAGGTTTCAGCAGAGCGCCTAAATAGGGAAGAATAAGCAGTAGAACTGGCCATCCATTCCTGAAGAAGCTGGTCCTTGAGAACTCTATGAATTGCAGAAGAACAGTGTTTTGATACACTGCCAGAAGATAAGCCTTTAGGGTTGGAAGATCAATCAAAATGTGACTTGAGAAGAGCTGCCTCCTCAGAGTAAAGTAAGCACCTTTAAGATGTGGATGTAGTAAAGTTTTCATCAAATGAAAGCCCTTAATTTGTTGATGTGGTAAGACTCAAAATTAGAAATGAGAAGAAAACAGCTGGAAACATTCATCAATAATCAGAACATAGACTGTAAAAAGTATGAATCTAGGAAATTTAGAAGTTGCTGAAAATAAAATGGATTGCATAAAGAATATCTATCGCAGGCATTAGTGAGCTGAGATGGGCTGGTATTGGCCACTTTCAATCAGATAATCATATAATCTACTAAACTGGGAATTACAAACAAAGGAAGAATGGTATCACATTCATAGTCAGTCAAAAAGAACATTTCAGGATCTATACTAAAGTTCAATGTTGTTGGTAATAAGATAATATCCATCGAGATACAGGGAAGATCTCTTAATACAACTACGATCCAAATATATGCACCAAACACCAAAGGAAAACATAAAATTAATTAAGGATTTCCACAAACTTCTGCAATCTGAAATTGATCAAACATGCAATCAAGATGTATTAATTGTAACTGGTGACTGACATGCAAAAAGTGGAAGAAAAAAGGGACTGTTGTTATGTGCCATATAAAGTTGTCTGCAACTCATTGTGACCTATCTACAACAGCTTTGAATTCTATCCTATTCTGCACCAGTTTTACTGTCTCTGACACACTTGCCCCCATAACCCCGGTCACTGTGTCAATCTAGCTCATCCAGGGTTTTCCTCTCCTGGGCTCTTCCTCCACCCTTCCAAGAATGATATCTTGATATATCCTTTGATATATCCAAGATATATATATATATAAATATATATATGTATATATATATATATCTTGATATATTTGATATATCCTTTGATATATCCAAGATATCATTTATATCAAAGGACTGGTCCCTCCTGGTCACATACCCAAAGTATGTGAGACAAAGTTTCAAAATCCTTGCCTCCAGAAAGCCACTTATTTCACCCTCTCCAGGACAGGCCTTTTTGTTCTCTTGGCAGTCTATGGTATGTTCAATACTCAGTCAGAGTCCAGCTCTCTGATGCATAGCAAGTAACTTTGAAGACTAGGGCCTGGATCAGGTGCACCATAATCTCTAGACTGATATCTTTGCTCTTCAGCACTCTGAAGAAGTCCCTGACAGCAGACTTTCCTAATCCAATTAGTCTTTTGATTTCCTGACTGCTTGTGCAAAGAGTGTTGACTGTGGCTTGAACAAGATGAAATTGTTAACAATTCCAATCTCTTCTCCATCCATCATGGTGCTGCCAATTGGCCCAGTGGTGAGAATCTTTGTTTTGGAGACAGAAATGAGGTGAGAGAGCACATGACAGAAATTTGTACAATGATTTATTCATTGCAAATATCTTTTTTACATAAATGTTACTATGAACACCAAGAAAACAAAAATCCTCACAACTGAACCATTAGGCAACATCATCAAACACAGGAAAAAACTGAAATTGTCAATATCTACAGGAGTATCAGTCAAAAAATCAAGATGTGTTAGGCAAATGTGCCAAGAAATTCTTTAAACGGGTAAAGAGCAAGGATATCAGTTTTAAGGTTAAGTTGTACCTGCCTCAATCCACGGTATTTTTCAGTTGCTCCATAAGCATATGAAAGTTGCACAATAAGTACGTAAAACCAAAGAAGGATTGATAGCTTTGAATTTGTGTTGGCCAAGACTACTGAATACATCACAGATTGCCATGAGAATAAACAAGTCTATCTTGAAGGAAGTGCAAACAGAGTGCTTCTTGGAGGCAAGAATGATGAAACTTGTTCTCACATACTCTGGCCATGTTTTCAGGAGTTGCCAGTCTTTGGAAAAAGGCATTATGCGTAGGGAAAGAAGAAGGTAAGCAAAAGAGAAGAATTTCCATGAGATTGATTGGCACAGTGATTATAATAATGTGTTTGAGAATGGCAGAGATTGATTTGATGTCATAAAATAGGGCAAGGAGTCAACCAGCCATTTATAGGGTCATTATCATTTAGAAGATTGCTTCCTTTCTCTATACCTGTTCAATCTGTAGGCTGAGCCAATAATTCACAAAGGTGGACTCTAGGAAGAGGAGTGTGGCATCAGGATTGGAGGAAGACTTATCAAAAAACCTGTTAAGCAGATGTCATAATCTTGCATACTGAAAGTGAGTATATGAAACACTTACTAAAGAAGATCAAAGACTACAGCCTTCAGTATGGATTACATCTCAACATCAAGAAAACAAAGCTCCTCACAACAGAACCAAGAGTCAACATTACGACAGATGGAGACAAGATTGAAGCTGTCAGTGATTTCATCCAGATTAGATCAACAATCAACATCCTTGATACCAGCAGACAGGAAATCAGGAGACATACTACATTGGGCAAGTCTGCATAAAGAACCTTTCGAAAATGCTGAAGACCAATGATGTCTGCGTGAAAACTAAAGCGTGCCTGATTCAGGCCATGATCTTCTCAATTACCTGCTATGCATAAGAGAACTGGACAATGAATAAGGATGACAGAAGAATAATTGATGCCTATGAGTTGTGGTGCTGGAGAAGAGTGCTAAATATCCCATTGACTGTCAGAAAATAAACAGATATGTCTTGGGAAAAGTGCAGTCAGAGTGTTCCTTGGAGGCAAAGATAGCAAAACTGTGTTTTTCATACTCTGAACATGTAACTAGGTGAGAGTAGTCATTGGAAAGAGATGTCATGCTTGGAAAGGTGGAGGGTCAGTGAAGCAGAAGACCACCAATGAGATGGATTAACACGGTGACTTCTGCAATGAGCTCTAGTGTGTCACGGTTGATGAGGATGGTAGGCAGGGCAGGGTTCAGGTTTGCTGTTAATAGGGTTGCTATGAGTCATACTTGATTCAACAACACCTCACAACAACACCAACTCTATAACACCTAACACAAACAACTTTTGGTATTTATGTAACAGCAATCTAGGTTACTATGACAAGCTCAGAGTCCAACAACAAACAACAGAAGGAGATGCTGATGCCTATTGCAATATAAATGATTCTTCAAAGCATTATGCTACTTGAAAATGCCAGTCTTTTTTTCTCTCATCTCTTTCTCTCTTACACCTCGCACACCCCAATGATGTAATACTTTTATTAGGAATTATCCAGGAGATGAGAGGATAGAGGAGTGACAGTTTAAAGGATTCAGTTCTCTGAGGCAACAAAATGTTCTAAAATTGACTAGCTGCACATATCTGTGACTATACTAAAACTCAGTAATTATATCCTTTAAATTGATTAACAATATGCTATGTAAATTTTATATTTAAAAAAACATGTTACAAATAAACATACAATTTGTTGATTCAATTCTTTTTATGTGTGCAATTCAGTGACATTTATTACATTCTTCATATTGTACAGTCTTAAGTAAATATCCTTTTTTTTTTGGTAAATATCCTTTTTAAAGGATATTTTTCACCATTAACCTTTGTACTCCTTCAGTACTACCTTCCTTACTCCCTACCTTCCATTTTTGCTAAACATTAATAAGCTTTTGTTTCTACATATTTGTCTATTTCAGGTAAGTGAGATCATACTGTATCTGCCCTTTCAAGATTGACACATTTAACTTAGAATGGTGTTTTTTAAGGTAGATCCATGATGTGGCATGTATAAGGACTTTGTTTCTCTTTATGGTTGAGCATTATTTCATTGTACGTATAGTCCATATTTTGTTCATCCAGTCATGTAGTCATGGAGTTCTAGTAGCCTAGTGGGTAAGGCGTTGCATTGCCATCCCAAAGGAATTCCAAACACACCACCATCATTCAGGAGAGATGAGCAACCTCTATTGTTCAATTTACAGTTTCTGACAACTTGTTGGAGAGTCAACTATGACTCAATTCCAACTCAATGACACAAAACAATAACATTCATGTATTAGCAGACATTTAGGTTGTTTCCTCATTTTACTACTTGAGAGTGATACAAAGAACATTAGAGTACAAGTTATAAACCATATTTTCATAAAATAATTTAATATTTATTCTCAAAGAGAGAGAGAACTGTTTGAAGGGGCTTATACTTACGCAATGGAATCTGTATCCATATCCATTTGCTCTGGGTCAATACCATCAGATTCTGATAATGTATCCACCAGAGATTCTATGTGCTCCATATTTTTGTGAAATCCTTCCCATTCTTGGGAAGTAATTTCAGAAAAGCCCAAGGCATTAAACATCTTGAAAGACCAGAAATCCAGAAAGCTGATAACATTTAGAAGAATTTTGGGTAGACCTATAAAAATGATAGATGTATTAATTTTTAAAAGTATATCTAAGTCTACTACTTCAATGTTGTTTTTGTTGTTGTCGTTATGTGCGGTCGAGTCGCTTGTGACTCATAGCGACCCTATGTACAACAGCCCTAAATTCTGCTCTGTCCTGTGCCAATCGCACTGTCTCTGACACTCCCATCCCGATTATCCCAGTCACTGAATCTTCTATACTAGATTATAAATTCCTAAATGTTAATAGTTATTTAGGGGCTTCAGGAATTTTGTTCATAGGGTCACTATGAGTTGTGCTTGACATGAAGGCAATCAACAACAACAACAACAACATAGGCAGGGATGTATCTATGTATTATCATTGCTTTTGTATAGCTGAAAGTGTTGCACAGTACAGTCCCTAATTAGCAAACTTTGTATAATCTTCACTTCTAAATAATGGGCTATTTCTTGAACAATACTTTGTATTTCAAGGGGGTTTTTTGTTAAGGGACTGCCAAATGCATTAAATTTAGAATATTTCAGCTAACCGATGCTGCCCTTGATGTGCTCACCAAGATGTGTCAAGAAATCTGGAGAACAACCACTTGGCTGACTGACTGAAAGAGATCTATATTTGTTCTCATACCAAAGAAAGGTGACCCAACAGAGTGTGGAAACTATAGAACAATATCATTGATTTCATATACAAGCAAGATTCTGATGAAGATTATCCAAAAATGACTGGAACAGCACATCAGCAGAAAACTGCCAGAAGTCCAGGCTGGGTTCAGAAGGGTCGTGATATTAGGGCTATTGTAGCTAATGTTAGATGGATCTTGGCTGAAAGCAGGGAGTACCAGAGAAATGTCTATCTGTGTTTCATTACTATGCAAAGGCGTTTGACTGTGTGGATCATAACAAACTGTGGTTGACACTGAGAAGAATGAGAATTCCAAAACACTTGATTATGCTAATGAGAAACTTATACTTGAACCAAGCAACAGTTGTCAGAACAGAGCAGGGTAACACTGCATGGTTGAAAATTGGGAAAGGCGTATGCCAGGGATGTGTCCTGTCTCCATTCATTTTCAATCTGTATGCAGAATAGATCATCCAGGAGGCTGGGCTCTATGAGAAATGAGGCATCAGGATTGGTGGAAGATCTATCAACAATATGCGTTATGCAGATGACACAATCCTACTCACTGAAGCTGAGGAGGACCTCATGCACTTGCTGCAGAGGGTCAAGGACTGCAGCCTTCAGTATGGACTGAGGCTCAATGTCAAGAAGACAAAGATTCTCACCACTGGACCAATTGGCAGCATCAGGATGGATGGCAAAGAGATTGAGATTGTTCACAGCTTCAGTTTGCTCAGCTCCACAATCAACACTCTTGTAACCAGCAGCCAGGAAATTAAAAGACATACTGCGATGGGAAAGTCTGCTGTTAGGGACCTCTCCACAGTACTGAAGAGCAATGGTGTCTCTCTGGAGACTAAGGTGTGTCTGATACAGGCCATGGTCTTTGCAATCAGAGAGTTAGACGATGACTAGGGAGGATAGAAGGATAATTGATGCCTTTGAGCTGTGGTGCTGGAGAAGAGTATTGAGTGTACCATGGACTGCCAAGAAAACAAACAGGTCCATCCTAGAGAGGGTTAAACCAGGCTGCTCCTTGGAAGCAAGGATTCTGAGGCTTTATCTGACATACTTTGGTCATGTTGTAAGGAGGGACTGGTCCTTGGAGAGGAACATCATGCTTTAGAGGGTGGAGGGACAGCACAGGAGAGGAAGGCCCTCTATGATGTGGATTGATTTAGTAACTGGGGTAATCGGGATGGTTATATCAGAGACAGTGCAACTGGCACAGGACAGAACAGAGTTTAGGGCTGTTGTACATAGGGTCGCTATGAGTTGTAAGCGACTCGATGGCACAACAACAACAACAAGATCCCTTCTTTACTCCTTTCCCCATCCCCCCACTTACACTTACTATCCTTTATCTTCTCTTGCTTTTTCCCTTCCTCTTGCTTGTCTTTTAGTTTTAGTTATCTTTTTCTGTATACTCTTGTTTTTGTTTTCCAGGTTTTGTTATTGGTTTTTGTTCCATCTGGCAAGAGACAGCAACAATCTCCACATTGCGGAGGCACACTCACACTTCCTGAAGTTTCACCCACAGCTCAAGAGTAAATATCTACTATTGTACCACCTAACTGACCACAGACTGCAGCTTACACTTGCTCGCAAGTACTCTATACAAACTGTGAACAGAGAATTGTATCACCTCTACCTTTTGTCATATTCACAAGAGGACAAGAGGTGAAAGAATAAGAATTAGGGAACTAGTGAGCTGACTAGCACACTTCAGAAACATGAAAACAAAATAATATAATACCACCATATTTTAGTGGTAACAGATAGCTTCCAATCATGTGTGCACATACACATACACAAACAGAACAAGCTGATGCAAGAAAATGTTTCCAAGAAAGAGATGTTACTTAAAGGATTTATAGTTTAGAACTTGCAATGGATTCAGATAAAGTCTGAGGAAACCAAAGACAAAATAACGAGAAACACAGACAAAACTTCAGAATTTTTTAAAAAAGCAAAAAAACAATTTTTTTGACAAAATAAATGAAACCACACAAATAACAGCAAACTGACATTCAGGATGCTAAACTTTCAGAAATAGATATTACGTTGAGAGGGCAAAAGAATAGAATAGAATTGAATCAATGGGACACAAATATTCTGAGTAAACAGAAACATCTCAATACTAATCTATACTCTGTTTTGTTTTGGGGGTGTTTTTTTTTAAGCTCAAAGAAGCTTTATTAAGGGAGCTCCAAGGTGGGATTCCTTGGTCTGGAGAGACAGACAGACCAGGAGAAAACTGCCAATACTAGTTTATACTCTTACAGATTGCTAGCAATTAGAAAAACTGAAGGGGGGAAAAAAGCTTAAGAATTTGTGAAACACTATTAACTTACATGTAATTGAAATTCTAGAACACAAAAAGGAAATATTTCAAAATCTGCTGGAATAAAAATCTCAAATATTATAAAAGATGAAAAGATACGCATTCAAGAAGTTCAATGAACCCCAAACAGGATAGATTTCATGTTATGTATTTAATTGTGTTCCCTTAAAATGCATAATGATATAATACATAAGTTATGTAGGGGTTCCCTATGATCTGATAAAATAAATAGTTATAAAACAACCATGGACCACCAAGAAAACCAACAGGTTTGTCTTTTTCTTTTAAACAGGTCTGTCTTGAAGAGAGTAAAACCAAATTTCTCCTTGGAGCGTAGGATTTTAAAGCTCCATCTCACATACTTTGGGCATGTTGCCAGTAGAGACCAGGATTTTGAAGCTCCATTTCACATACTTGGGCACGTGGCCAGGAGGGATCATCCCTTGGAGAAGGATATCATGCTTGGAAGGGTGGAGGGGAGCGCAGGAGAGGAAGACCTAGGATGAAATGGATTGACAGAGTAACTGGGGTAACGGGGGTGGATGCGTTGGAGACAGTGAGACTGGCTCAGGTTAGGACAGGGTTCACAGCAGTTATACATAGGGTCACTATGAGTCGCAGATAACTTGATGACACATAATAACAACAAAGGGGTTAAAGGTGGAATAAAAATATCCTTTAATTCTATCCCAACTATAATGTATGAGAACTTTTCCTAGGATGTGTCTGGTAATCTCTTATTTCACAAGAGTTAAAAAAAGGAAGGAAAGTGAGTCAAGAGATCAGGGACTTCAATTCCACCAAGAAATAATCATTAGAAATGCTGTGTGCCTTTTAGACCCAGACTTCATCTTTAGGAAGCTCTTTGATGCTGGGCATGACCAAGGCACATGATGATAGACAAATAATGCCAGGCTTAAAGATGCTGAAGGAAGCAAGACTCTTCCTCCAGTACTGACAGAGGGGGGCTTTCCCTTAGACCTGGCATTCAATCATGATAAAACACACAACAAAATAGGAGTAAAAAGAATATTCCTCAACACAATTAACAACATATATACAAAACCAACAGCCAACATTAGTCTCAAAGTAAAGAAACTGAAAGCATTTCCCTTGAGAGCAAGAATCAGACAAGTATGCTCTCAAATAATAATTCTGACCAATACTTTATTGGAAGAACCTTGTCAAAGCAACAAGATAGGTGATATAAAAGGCTTCAAAGTGTCAGCAAAGGAGGGGAAGACTCTCAACCCAGTGGATTGACATAATGACTGCTGTAATGGGTTCTAATGTGTTAGAAGGTATGAGGATGGCACAGGACAGGACAGGTTTAGATCTGTTGTCCATAAGGTTGTTATGGGATGTACTTGACTTGACAGCACCTAACAACATATGTTCTGAGATTCCCATTCTTCTCAATGTTAGCCATAATTTGTTATGATCCACATTGCTAACACATTTGATAGTCAATAAAGTACGAATAGACTGGTATTCTGTACTTTCAGCCAGAATCCATATGACATCAGTAATGATATCCCTGGTGCCATATCCTCTTCTAAATCCTGCTTGAACTTTTGGCAGTTCTCTATATACTGTTCTAGATATTTTTGAATGCTTGTCAGCAGTATTTTGCTTACATGTGATTTTAGACATTGTTCAATAATTTCCACATTCTACCGGACACATTTTCTTGGGAATAGTAACAAATAATGGATCTCTTTCAGTCAGTCAGCCAGGCACCTGTCCTCTAAATTTCCTAGCATAGATTGATGATCACATAAAGGCTGTATCACCTTGTTGAAATACGTCAATTGATATTCCATAGATTCCTGGGGACTTATTTTCTGTCAATGCCTTCAATGCAGCTTAAATTTCTTCATTATCATTGGCTCTTGATTATACGATAATTCCTGAAATATTTCAGTGTCAGCCAATTCCTTTTGGTACAGTAATTCTGTGTATTCTCTCAATCTTCCTTTGATGCTTCTTGGATCAAGATCTTGCCCTTTGCATCTCTAAATTCTATAACTTGAAGCTTAAGT